ATATCAATTTATTATAATTGTTCAAAGAGAGGGTGAGATGTGAAGGTTGGAGGTGAGAGAGGTGACAAGCCATTAGGGAATTAGGATTTTTAGTATATATAATTGGAAGACCAAAATATTTTTCGCATTTCTACTCGATTTTTTTGACTAGTCGATCAATAGGGTTGGGTATGATAGAAAATTGCGGGTAATCAAAAATTTGAACACCGTTAGTTGGAACAACCATGTTGCGTGTTCTAAGGGTCGACCTCATTGCCGTTGCCGTTGGTGTGGATTCAAACCCATTTCCAACCCCAACACGCACACACACACATAATGTGTTATGGATAGATACCAAAATGGGGAACCAAAATGGACTGAATTAGTTGTCATGGAAGTAATGTGATGGTTGTTGACGAAAGCAATGAAGGCAAGCAAGATGGGCACTTGAGTGAGGGAAGGAATTTTGGCATGTTTCTTTTGCAGAGGCCATGTAAGGAAGTGGGAGACACAAGAGAGTAACAGAAAGCGTTTCCTTGTGCCTTATATATTTAGCTTCCTAGAAGAGACGCTAATATTGTGGTCCTACATGTGACGCCATAGTAATGCCCATCACTCTCTGTTCTTTCAACTTTGCCCATTTGGTTTTGGTCATTTTCCCAAATCAACTTGATCATATGATGAGCCACCAGCCCTCTGGAGTTCGTTCTAGGTCTTATTAAATAATACCATAAACTAGCCCTAGTTATTGCCACAAGATATATATATATTTATTTTTTGTCTGTGGGTGGGTGGGTGACATTGGGGGGTTGGCTGTCTTAACAAATGATGATGTGTTAGACCATCTCTAATGGAAATTCAAATTTGAAAAAAAAAAAAAGAAAAAAAAATTAATTTGATATAAATCTCTCCAATAGAGAAACTCAAATTTAAATGAGGACAAATTTAAATTTAAATGAAGATAAAATATGATCATTAGATCTTTAAATAATAGTAAAATCTCATCATTAAAGATTTTGGTCTAGCATTAGAGAAGGTTTTTAAAAACAAATTTACCCAACTTTAATTTTGGGTTTAAAAAATGGTAAGGATTGTTGATGCTCAGAGAGAGAGAGAGAGAGAGAGAGAGAGAGAGAGAGAGAGAGAGTATTACCTTGTTCTATGTTTGAATAACATTATTATGACTTAAAAAATTGATTTAATTTATTGCCTTAATGATGTGATCAAATACTATTATGATAATTGTAACTCTTTGATTTTCATTGGGATTTCATTACTTGATCTATTATTATGTTAGCAAAAAATAGTGCTATGCTTATCAAATCATTTAAATTTTATATCAAATTGGCGTAGATGGTCAGATCAGTAGAATTCTTAGTCTCTGTGTGTGTTTTGTGGGGTTGGAGGGGGGTAGTTATTAAATTAAGTAGGATTTACTTATGTACAAAGTCCTGATTTTCCTTGTCAAATTATAAATTTATTACTGAATAATGATATTGTGATGTCGTTGAATTCAATATTTTCTTTCTCATATGATTCGTACGAATTAAACATTGTGCAGAATCATGACGCATTCAATGACAATATACTTGACGATGGAAATTTTAGTCTAAATTTGACAACACGTAGAAAGTAACTTAGAGATGTGGAATCCAAGATGTGAATTGTGATAATTAAACAGCACTAATGCTATGTTGATCAAATTTAGAATCTAAACGACTTGACAGTATGTTATTTGAAGTCTTTATTAAAGCCCAAATAACATGACACCAAATAAAGAAGTCCAAATCAATTACTATACCTTGTTCTTCCCATACACGTCTTATTGAGACAAGTTCCTAAATCTTGATCTATTACTCAGGTTTCAAAGATTTTGACCATTCGAATTGACTTCTTGTGGTTGATTTAGGAAATGAGACAGACGTCTTCCAATCCGTTTGTTCTCCAATGTTTTTTCAAGTGAATTACGCATTATTCGTTTTGATTTATACATTTCATGGCCAGATTCAAGGCCATTTTGTAACAATAACCACTACATTTGACAAAAAAATGTTATTCTTCTCCTAATTCGAACATTTTAAATTTTGAAATTACTTTGATATTGCGCTAGTGTTACTACACTGAGATAATACATACATGATACAATAACAAACCAAAACCTTGCAGGTCAGACTCGTTGACTTAAATTCAAAGTTGGTGTAAGGGCATGTCTTTTAAAGAACAAATGTGGTTGACCCTTTTGGAATATGAAAAATATCGAAACTAATACGTCATATTTGAAAGAGAACAAATTTGATCACTGAATTAATTGATTTAAAGGATGAGACGTCGTCTAATACTTTGTTTTCTATTTTTTGAAATGAATTGCATGTTCTTCATTGAAATAAGACTCATTGTATACAAATAAGTCATTTACTCACTAGTGATAAATAATCAGTTAAAAAAAATTAATGACCAAAATATATATCAGAATATATTTAAATTCTTGATGCAGACGTTATATGGCCAGATTAAGCATATGGGTACTTCAAATTCAAGGCCATTTTGTAACAATAACTACTCCATTTGACAAAAACTGCCACTCTTCCCCTAATTCGAACCTTTTCAATTTTGAAACTGCATTGACGTTGCGGACAAACATGATACAGTCACAGACTCAAAACCTTGCAGTTCAACTTGTCAGCTTAAGTCCAAAGTTGGGACCCACATTCCGCTGTCTCTTCCGAACCTTATAGAATCAGACGGTCGTCTTCACTCATAATTCTGGTCCCCACATCTCTGTCCACCGTCCGATAGGAAAACGCATATGCAAAAGCCAGTCATTCCGGCTATTGTCCTTTTTTTCACGGGTTCCTTCTACAATTCACTCTATAAATCAAGAGCCCCCACGCAACACCAACCCCCACTATGTTCACCTATCTTTCTCTCTCTTCTCTCTCTCTCTACAGAAGGTAAGACAAGATGTGTGGAGGTGCAATAATTTCCGNTTTTGTCGATGGCGGGTGGAGAGACGAAGAAATTGAAGAAGGTGGAAAGCTGGGGGAGTTCTTGCAATGCGAAACTCTTTGTGGACAAACATACTAAGAAGAGGTATGATAAATTCATTGTTAAATGTCCTCTGTTGCTTGAGTGTGGTATTTACCTCGATGATCTAGTAGGCAGTGTGGCTTGCCTTGAAATACTTCGTACTCGGAAATGAGATCCTCCATTTGATGTAAATATGGAAGATAAAACATGTTGATCTAGTTAAGTTATTGTATGCAAATATTTATGAGTTCAAGGAGAATGATCTGACATTTAAGTCATTGATCAGGAAGAAATCCATCATTGTTTAATTTGATCTTATTTCAAATATATTAAAAATTAATAGACTAGACATTTCTGAGAATACCATTATCTTTCCATATGCAACTAAGGAGCAGTTCCTCGAAATGGCGATGGTGTTTTAAGGTATTTGTATCGGGAGTGTCCCTTGGGAGAATGAGAAAAGAAAAATTGCTCACATTGACCTTACGCCAATGTATAGGATCTTAAACCGCATTATTGCTTGTAATAACATCCAAAGGGACATATTGCTGAGATTGGATACGATACAGGCCAACTGTTATATGTTATTAGTAAACTAGGGGTTTGTATTGATCTACCGTTTTACATATTCAATAATGTTCTTGAAGCATCTAAGGTGGAGGATTGCAAGCCATGTCTTCCAGTTCCAATCTTAATTTCCAATATTTTGAAACATTGTGGAGTTGAATTTCAGCAGAATGATAATTTTATGTACCCCATGAATTCAATGGGTATGGGTACACTAAATAAAAGTGTGGGATCTATTTTGGGTGCAAAATAGGATAAGCGTGTGAAGGAGCCATTAGTAATGTCTCAGGTTGTGGGTGGTCAAGCTGGTTCTATCGTTGGTACTAGAGTGGTTGGACAAACACTTCAGAACATGGTTAAAAGTTGGAGGCCCGATTTGAAAAGTTTGAGGATAAAACGAAAGGGTTTTTCCAGCGTCTGGAGATAAAGTTAGATTATTTTTATAAAGACTTTAAAGAATACATCAACAAATGACACATAATTTTTTTTTTTGGTAAAGTAAAAGAATATTTTGGCCAGTTTGTTGTGGATGTTATGAGCCTGGTTGTTAAATATGTTGGCTAGTAGTTATAAAGATATTGTGGGTTTATGATTTTTGAGTTTGGTACAGTGAATGTGAGTTTTGTGTATACATTCATGTTTATATGATTTTAACAATGAATTAATGTATAGGCTGGAGACAAATTTTATCTTTGCACATTAGGTGGGACTTGGAGGAAACAACATATTAACCGTTTAAACTGCTTCCTTCATTTTGCCCTTGTCATCTATAAATGAAAAAGAAGGTGTGGGGTTGCACCTTCTATGCAACTTTAGAAAGCTGTACTGTGTGGTCAACTAGTGTAGAGCAAAATGTTGATTATTTCAGATTTGTTCAGTGCCTAAATGTGTCCATGTTAACATTGCATGAAATATTGAGTACACTATGCTAATGAAATCGTGGAATAGTTAGTACCAAAAAAAAAAGGCAATGACAAAACACATGTAGTCATGCTCACCTCTACATTGTTTAAACAAGTATTAATGTATTGCCCGTGCATTTGAACCAAAATCAAGGTTCACTTGCTATTAAAAAAAATGGATATCAAAACCATGTTGGTATGTATTGAATTTTTCAAAGTAATGAAAATGTGATAGTTTATGAACCTGATATTGGAGGACACTATAATTGTAAGTAGGATTTTGGTGGCATGGGCTNGGTATGTATTGAATTTTTCAAAGTAATGAAAATGTGATAGTTTATGAACCTGATATTGGAGGACACTATAATTGTAAGTAGGATTTTGGTGGCATGGGCTGTTGGGAGCCATCAGACTGTGAGAAAGGGCATGTCGTCGTAAGGATCACTTGCTGTTAAAAGAAAAATGGATATCAAAATCATATTGGTATGTACTGAATTTCTCAAAGTAATGAAAATGTGATAGTTTATGAACCTGGTATTGGAGGACACAGTTGTAATTGTATGTAGGATTCCAAAAGTCGTCTTCTTGAGTTGGTGGCCTGGCAAATTGGGAGCCACTAGGCTANCCGTCGAACCTGGCCGGAAACTGACGACACAGGACCTCTGGGCTGAGCTAGACACCTTATCTGATCTCTGGGGCTTCGACTATTTCACCGGCAAAGACTACTCCAACCAGTCTGATGAGAATAAGAACAAGGCCACGACCAAGAAGAAGCAACTCAATGAAATTGAAGGTAAGATCTGAATACACATAGTTACATACAGATTACAGACCCATATGCATGCAGAGATACATACACATACACACAAATAAATATTTATATATATATATTTGATCATGGCGTATATACATAAGAGCATACGTATATGATCAACTGGCAATGAATGTTGGGTTGCGCCTTTAAATGGTGCATGGCGCGTCGTAGTGCCAAGTGCACTTAAATTTACTGCTTCGTTGTATATGTGTACATACACCTATACATATATATATGTATACACACACATATGTCTGTACGTTTATATATGAAAGTAATAATCTATGTATAATATATACGGGTGTACATATGTATGGGTGTTCTGTGTTACACGCAATCAGTTTACTTTGGGCTCTTGCATGATTGGTTTGAAAGAACAATATGAATTTGGGATTGTAGGGAGGAGTGAGAAGACTCGGAAAACGAGTCAGGGGGCGAGTCAGACTCAGAGACCTCGGAAGAACATGTACAGAGGGATAAGACAGAGGCCATGGGGAAAATGGGCTGCTGAGATACGTGACCCGCAAAAGGGTGTCCGAGTCTGGCTCGGAACCTACAACACAGCTGAAGAAGCAGCCAGAGCCTATGATGAGGCTGCCAAGCGCATCCGTGGCGAGAAGGCCAAACTCAATTTCGCTCAACCACCACGAACTCCGTCGCCACCGCCGCCGGCGGCCAAGAAAAGGTGTATCATCACTGAGTCGACTCAGGAGAGCTCCGGATCAACAGGGCCACCAGTCCCACCACCATTGATGGGTTTTGGGTTCCAAAACGAACCCTACTACTACCCAAACCAAGTGGCAGATGAGTATGAGATCAAAGAACAGATTGCGGACTTGGAATCTTTTCTGGGCTTGGGGCCTGAGTTGACTCAGTTTGGAGGACTCGGTGAGTCGGACTCAGTTGATCTTTGGATGATGGATGACTTTGCTGCAACTCATCAGCATGATATAATCTACTGATCAGATTTATAGCCCGTCTGATCATGTATGTGTGAAGTTTTATGCGCACTTTATGCTATATTAATGCTTTAGAATGTGGTATACAGGATAATAAGTTGATTGCGGTTGCATGCAATCATCGACGTTGTCATTTTCATGCTTTAAATCTCTTTTACTCTTGGATTATGCTAATATATGTTGGTGCATGTATCTAGCATTACTTTTTAAGTTTTTATTCATGTAAGTTATTCTATTTATTGCTTTAATAATTATTTTTTACTTTTATTTGACTTCTAATAGGGTGTATTTAACAACTTTGAAAAGGAGGTAGACTAGTCATTTTTGAGGATTTTCAAGTATTTTAAAAAATCTAAATTAATACAAAAAATTTCACCCGCATCCCTCCTAATTTATTATATCTTCAAAGACACACTTCTATTATCAAAAACATCACTGACACCCATTTTAGTTTATATTTAAACATCACTAACACCCTCTACTATTAAAANTAGTCATTTTTGAGGATTTTCAAGTATTTTAAAAAATCTAAATTAATACAAAAAATTTCACCCGCATCCCTCCTAATTTATTATATCTTCAAAAACACACTTCTATTATCAAAAACATCACTGACACCCCTTTTAGTTTATATTTAAACATCACTAACACCCTCTACTATTAAAAATCATTTCTAAAAAAAAATTCATCTAAAATACCAAAAAGTCCCTACATAAACCTCAAGTAATTGTTTTACGTAAACTTTTATTAAAATTGGAGCCAATTAAAATTTATTTTTCTACATATTAAAATTTGAACTAATTAAAATTCGGTTGAAGCTAATTAAATTTTATTTTTTTTAACGTATTAAAATTTGAGNCCTCAAGTAATTGTTTTACGTAAACTTTTATTAAAATTGGAGCCAATTAAAATTTATCTTTTTACATATTAAAATTTGAACTAATTAAAATTCGGTTGAAGATAATTAAATTTTATTTTTTTTAACGTATTAAAATTTGAAGATATTAAAATTTATTTTTTACATATTAAAATTTGAGCCGATTTGAACTCTACCCGAGTTGTTAGCGCTACTTAAAATTCACTTTTAAGTCGATTAAAATTTATATTTTTTTACTTATTAAAATTCATGTCAATTAAAATTTGATTTATTAAAATTTAATTCAATTAAAATTTATATTTTTTTATGTATTAAAGTTTGGGTTGATTAAAATTTAATACGAGTTGATTAAAATTTAATTTGAGTTGATTAAAAATAATTTTTAATTGGCTCAAATAGAATTTTAATTAACCCAAATTTTAATAAAAATATAATTTTTAATCGGTTCAAATTTTAATTAGTTTGAATTAAATTTTAATCAGTCCGAATTTTAATACATAAAAAAAATTAAAAAATAGAGGGGGTCTTAAGAAGTAATAAAAGTATACTATTTATTTTTAATATTTTTAATTTAACGATCGTGATATTTAGATCAATTTATATGCGTCTCAATTAATTAGCGATGAATCGTGCCCTTCTAATCGGGGACAGCATTTTTCTTCTGGTTTACGAGGCGCGAGATGCTAAGAAAATTTGGGTAAAAGCATTCCCTGCTTGTGTACAACTTCTGTGTGTGTTTGTGTGTGTGAGCGCACACAGTTTAGGTTAAATAGGTTAAATATATATATACTAATTAATCAAGGTACGTACTATATAATTAAGAGGCTCTATTATTGTCACATGAAGACGATAAATGTGTGCGACAGCTGAATCGATACATATATATATATATATATATATATATATATATATATATAATATTCCACTGACATATGCTAGACGTGTTAAAATACAACACAATTAATCAGAATGAATTGGCATAGNACAGTTTAGGTTAAATAGGTTAAATATATATATACTAATTAATCAAGGTACGTACTGTATAATTAAGAGGCTCTGTTATTGTCACATGAAGACGATAAATGTGTGCGACAGCTGAATCGATACATATATATATAATATATATATATATATAATATTCCACTTACATATGCTAGACGTGTTAAAATACAACACAATTAATCAGAATGAATTGGCATAGTCTTAACAAGTGAGGGTGATAAATGGGTGGACTGCTAAATCTGTTTAATAAATGGGTCGTGTCCGCATGAGATATTTTAACTCGTTTAAATAAAACTAATATAATAATTATTTAATCTTTTTAGGCAGAATAATATATGTAATTCAATAATTATATCAGTTAAAAAGAGTTTAATAGTTATTTTTTATTACAATAATAAAAAAAAAATTATTAAATAGGTTAAACGATGAGTGTCGGATAACCTGCTTAATAAATGAATCGTGTTCGATTTGTAGGATTTCACCTGTTTAATTAAATGAATTTTGTACGAGTTAAATGATTGTTCACACGAACTAAATTATGCTTCACATGAACCTGCTTAACTCGATACGATTGACCCCCTAGCTATGATTTCTATATCTCATATAAGGAGTTGATTCCGGTACCAAAAAAAAAATTCGGTATCATAGCTTCATTTACCATATTTGTGGGTCATTTTACCGCTGTTGTGATACCCCATAAAATCGTAAAAATAATTATCATAACAGTGATAAAAACACTCATAAATATAATAAATTTTTTGGTACCAAATAAAAGTGATTAAAATAGTTACCATAAATGTAATAAAAACAGTCACAATAGTAATAAAAATACCCATAAAAGTGATAAATCATTCACAAAAATAATAAATTTTTTTATTATAAAATGACCCACAAAAATTATAAAAACACTTATTAAAATAATAAAAATTAGAAGCACAGTACCAAAATTATTACTTGGGCACCATAATCAAGTCCCTCGTGTAATCCAAAAACTTCCTCGTAATTTTTAACAGGAAAAAAACTAATAATACTCAATAATGGGTGTGTCTGGATGGCTGGCTAGGATAGGATAGATTAGGTTTACAATTTTTTAACCTCTTCTATCCAAATCAATCCAACACAACAGCTGAGATTTGCTTAAAAAAGAATGTATTCTAAACCAATTCTATATTTGGTAAGTTCATTTGTACTTTTATGGGTCCCATGAATTAATTTAATTTGAAATCTTATTTTATTAAAATTTTAACATTATACCCGTTAATCAATTCAATCCTCCAATGTTTGTCCAGCAAAATTGTCAATTGCCAAGAAATAGTGATAACAATTTCCTTCATCTAAAAAAAAATTATATATATATATATATATATATATATTACATATATTTATTTGCAATCACTAATCCAAAGGTGTTTTTATAAATCACAAATACAAAATAAAAACCTAATAAAGTAGTATTTTTGCCACATTTCTTATTATATATTGCATATTAAACATTATTTATTTGATCACCAAAATGGTATGTATTTTTTATTTTTAATGCTGCAAAAGGATGTCTATGAATCCTTATTTTGATGATCATAACAATGGATTTAAAATTTTCAATTGTATAGTGAAAAAAATATCATCAGGCAACAGTAAACAAGGGAAATAAAATCTACAAAAATTATGGTAGTAAAGAGATTGAAATTGGTTGCCTTCATTCATTTCACATATACTCCAATAAGAATCCCTCTCTCTCTCTAGATGACAATAATAATTCTATTTCTTCTCCATTAATGCAATTGAACCAACACTAGACACCTTGCAACCACATGCTGCACCATATGCCCTTTCTCTTCCCCTTTTCAACTCTTCTTCTTATCTCTTCGGCGTCGTATCTCGATCTGAAAAGCTTGGCGTCTTGTTCACCTACATCTCCATATAATCCAACGAGTTTTCTTGTATAGGACTGTAACGATCCGTCCCAATTGTCAAGATATTGTCTATTTTTTAATGTTTAAAACGAACAATATCTTAACAGTTAAAACGGATTGTTACAAATGGTATCAGAGCAAACTCTCTTACACTTGGTCGGGGTGGATCCCATGTAGGCCTCGCGAGAACGCGTGGGGGAGATAGAGTGTAGTAGCATGCTAAAAGAAGTTGTAAGGTGAGAAAGTGTTACCACTCTCCTACCTAAAGGTACTATTTGCTTCTAACACAAGCTCAACATATTTATTATTTGTATTAATCAGATGTGTTATTTTTAAATTTGTGATATATCATATTCTTCTTGTTATTTTATCGATGGATAAAACCGATATTGTTAAATTAAAAAATTATAATAAAAAAAAAAAAAGAAGAAGCTTATTGGTGTATTAATTAGTACTATCCATGACGTGTAAAATTGGAAGATATAGTTGATTCTACTAATAAAATTTTCGGTTGGTGAGACAATAAGATGAGAACAAATTAAGGTACTGTCTCGTCGTGCTAGAAGATGCATGAACCTCACACTCACAGCTAGTGCGCCAATTTAATCTAAGTGGGCCATTTGTGCCAAGTTTTTATTCACTGGGTCCCTCAATTTCTATGATTAAGATTTTGGAATATTTTTTTCCCAATATAAAGAGATGAAAAGATTTCAACAATTATTATTTTATGCTTAATTTTGTCGTTTATTCACTGTACATGATTTATAAATGATTACGAATAATTAAAATTTATATTCTACTTACAAATACAAAAAAATACACGTGTTTAGAACAAATTTTAATGAGAAAATGATGTTGCAAAACTCAGAGTAAGATATTTTTTGATATATTTTTTTTTCTCTAACAGATTAGTTATCGTTGACTTAAGTGAAACTCGTTGTATATAATTGAATTCCTCAATTTTTGTAGCACATAAGAAAAAATCCTGAGATGAAAGAAGATTCATGAACATGTTAATAGAAAAATCATGGTGGCTATTTCCCATTGATTCGAACCCCTAATGACAATGATTCGGAAATGATTATGGTAAAAACAAGTTTCAGTCAATATTATACTAAAAAATATTATTATTGCGAGTCAAGTTGCACAATACAAATGACATGTTATAATTATTTGTGGTAGATAAAAATATTTCATGATCAATTACAATA